TGTGTTGTTTTTTGTTTTCTATTTTAAAATTTATAAAGTTGTTTGTGGGGCTTGTGCTTTGAAAGGCATGGGGTGGTGGGGCTATTCAGTCTGTTCTGAAGAGGAAACTGGGTATGAGGGGTTGGGTGTCAAAGGGGAAATGACGCTCAATCCCTCATAGTCGGAGAAGTCGAAGACGGTAGTCTCAGAAAGCCAGGTAACAACGATAGCGACAGCTCAGTTTTTGGGCAGGGCAATTTTTGAAGGAGCTGAGGGAAGTTGGAACACATCCACGAGCTACATGAAATTGAATATTTTATATTTTTTTGAGTAGTTGATATGAAAAAGGTAGAACTATTTTAAGGGTGTGGGCTGTTGTGGCTGAAAGTCCAATATTGTTATCAAATATGACAGTTCAGGGGTCAAGGGGGAACTGACCTTTGACCTTTCATATTGGGTTTCAGTTTTGGAACGCAAGGGAATCCAGAATGCCTGTATTCGGTAAGAAGGGGTATGGTAGTGGGCCCATCTTTTTCGTTTTAAATGATAGCAGTTTTAAATTTTGTGTAAAGGTTTGATGATTGGGGTTTTCGGTTTACTTGGCTGGCCATAGTGTAGAGACAAATGTATATATATGTGTGTGTTGTTGTTTTCCGTGGCCCATGCCCCTAGAGTAGATCCCCATTAACATAGTCACCAGTAGATGAGACTGAGCGCACATATTTCGGCCTATTTTTTTGTCTGGTGACGATTAACTAAATTTGGTTTGCTCCACTAGGGAGTGGGAATGTGGGAAAGTGCCCGCCTCGTGACTCTTTGGGAGCAGAGGATGTTAGGATATAAAATACTTTAAGCTGACAATAATATTATGGTACTGTCGTAGTTCGAGTTCTGCGTGTTTGCGATTTTGTGCTGTCTAGCTTTTGTAAGGTGTTGTTTGCGTTGTGTTTACTGTACTGTTATTTTGTTCTTAGTACTGTGTACCTACTAACTTTCTTCCCCTGGTTGTACTGATTATTATTCATGATGGCGTTCTTATAATAATAGATTCTAGATTTATGCTAGGAACGGGCACGGGACAAAATTATAGATTTAAAAATTATTTTGCTTCAATGATTGGCAGTGACCAGTTAAGTAGACAAGCTTCATTTCAACAGTGTTTGCTTATTTCATGCTCAGTCATCTCATAGCTGCGCCTGTTGGCAAAGTACTGAAAATAAATTATCATCAGGTATCTTCTGTTTGCCTACAACTGCTCTGAGCAAGAGAACACCTCTTTGAGAAAATTTCACCTACCTTAGGAGCAGACTGTCTCAAACAGCCAATACAGACACAGAGATCAGTAACGGTTGCTAGAGCCGGTGCAGCGTTCAGACGACTCGAAGGAAAAACATCTGAGAGCACAGAGTAGAGACCTCAGTCTCAGCACAAAGCTGAAGGTTTAAGACAGCGTAGTGATCTTTGTCATCGCTCCCCTCTATGTCAGTTCCATGCCTTGCACTTTTTGGCCGTCTTACAACACTGTTTCGTCAAGTTTATAAAGAGATTCAGATATGTACAGGATGGAAGGTTACACAGTTTGTTTTTGAAACAGTGCAGATCTGTTTGCTATGTTGAATAGATCTTGGAACTTGGAACAGTTTGAGTGTTGCTTTATTTTGTGTGCTATGTTTTAAAATGCAGAACTTTCAATTTGTCCAAGTTGAGATGCAGAAATAATTCAGTGTCAAACTTCTTCGGAAGCAAGATTCTAAGAAAAGAAACTCCAGTTTGGGACAACTTAAGTGAACAAAATTTGCCTTTAGACTTTAGGTTGCCTTTGCCTTTGTTAGTTTTGTTGAACATTTGGCACCTTAGAAGTTTTTTTGTTGTGATTGATTTCATAGATTTTTTCACTGTGTAAAACGTCCACCTGAAAACAGGCGTTCCATCAGAGGACGGAGAGACACGTTGGACCGGCAAAAGAGGACGAGTCACTGGAGAGCCCGTCATGAAGCCGGAAGACGTGGCCACTCAGCAGACCTAAGCCAAGACTGGCCTGAGCTGGATTTCCTGCAGAGACTGCCACAGTTCCCCTTCCCCATCCCCTCCCTTGCAGAAGTTGGAAGTACTGGGCCTCATCGTGGCGCAAGGGTGAACGCCCTGTTCAAACCACAAGACACATGTCCTGCTGAAACAGGAGCAGACTGTGTGGAGAGGTTTGAGCTGGGTGGCCA